CTGGCATTCCTGGGGTGCTGCAGGAGTTCAGGGGTGCTGCAGGGTTCCCAAGGGTGCCATCCAGTGTCCCCAAGGTGCTTCAGGGGTTCCTGGGATGCTGCCTTGGGTCCCTGGGGTGCTGCAGGAGTTCCTGGGGTCCCCAAGGTGCCATTCAGGGTTCCTGGGGTACCATCCACGGTTTCTGGGTGCCATCTGGGGTTCTTGGGGTGTTTCAGGAGTCCTGTGGTGCTGGCTGGTGTTTCCAGGGGTGCCATGTGGGGTTCCCAGTTGTGCTGCAGGGGTTACTGGGGTGCTGCAGAGTTCCCATGGGTCCGAGGTTCCCCATCCTGGGGTGCCATCTGGGGTTCCTGGGGTGCCATCTGGGGTTCCTGGGGTGCCACGTGGGGCTCCCAGTCTGCTGCAGAGGTTACTGGGGTGCCATCAGGGATTCCCAGGAATACCTGGAGTATTCTCAGGGGTGTCTGCCAGTTATTCCCAGGGTGCCACCGGGGTTCCCAGGGTGCCATCCAGCATTCCAGGGGTGCTCCAGGGGTTCCTGGAATGCCAGTCTTGGTTCCTGGGGTGCCATCTGGGGCTCCCAGTGTGCTGTAGAGGTTTCTGGGGTGCCATCAGGGATTTCCAGAAGTGCCTGCCAGTATTCCCAGGGTGCTCCAGGGGTTCCCAGGGTGCCATCCAGCATTCCAGGGGTGCTCTCCAGAGTTCCTAGGGAATTCCTGGAATGCCAGTCTTTGTTCCTGTGAACCAACCTTGGTTCCTGGGTGCTGCAAAGATCCCAGGGGTACCATCTGGTGTTCCTGGGTACCATCTGGTGTTCCTGGGTGCCATGTGGTGGTTTTGGGGTGCTGCTGCATCCCACCATGTGCCCCCCAGTACTTCAGCTACAGCGTGGTGCTCAGCCTGCTGGCCTGCTCCGTCTTCCTGCACATCAGCAGCATCGGGAAGCTGCTGCTCATGGTGGCCATCGAGGCCACGTTCCTGCTGCTGGTGGAGGGGCCTCACGCAGCTCTCTTTGACAATGCCGACCTGCTGGTCCTGGCCAACGCCCTGTGAGTGTCCCCAGTCCCCCAGGGGTCCCCACACTGGGGCTGTGTCCCCACCCCACTGACACCTGGCTCCTGTGCCCACAGGCCGCCCTTCAACATGACCCAGGGAGAGTGGTGAGTGGGAAACTGGAGCCAGTGGGGTGGGCAGAAGCAGGAGGGTCCCTTGGGGGTCTGATACAGCATTGGGGTCTCTGGTGTGGGTTCAGCTTTGGGGTCTGGGTGCAAATCTGGGGCTCCTTTGGGTGGGTGAGTGGGTCTTTGGGGTCTACCATGCAGATTTAGGGTCCATGAGATGGGAAGGTGAATGTTTGGGATCTTGGATGCAGCCTTGGGGTGCCTGAAGGGGGTGGTCTGGGTG